GCAGCAGCATGTTAACTCTCCAGCTGTTACCTACCGATGAGAGAGATCCTTCCAGTGTCTTTCAACTGAGACTGTTCGAACGTCTCTATGAGAGTGTTACACTGTTCCACTGTGAAGTTCTTGCAGTTTTGTTCCTTCTGAATGAACTCACACAGCTCCTTGGCGTCCATCTCCTTACCATCCTTCGAGTACCTGCAGAAAAATACACCATCACAAGAAACTCTGGCATGTGAAAATGACTGTCATGAAGACTAGGCAATTATACTGCATGGGCCAGTTAGTCCAGCAGTGATAATGCAGACTTCAACTTGGGACTTGTTTTATTCCAATCTAGGATCGGTCACTGACTTTTAGTTTTGGGTAAACTGCAGCTGACTTCCACCAGCGTAGTGTTTCCTGATTCTGGGTCCCACAGAACCTGTGACATTTTTTTTCTGTCTCATGGCCCTGGCTGTCCTGGCCAAGGCTTTCTGTAGTCTTCCTCAGTCATGTTAGCACGTATCAGGACAGAAACCTTAACAGGCCATGACCACTTCCCTCTAAACCATTTCTGATTCATTCTTTGCCAGTGAACCTAACATTTGATGCTATGGAGTCTGCAATATTGACAGCCCTGTAAACACACAGCATGAATATGTACCCAAGGCAAGATGGAGTACAGCTAGAGCTACTGTATTTCCTGTTCATGTACCTTAACACACAAAGAACAGTACAGCTGCTATTAGTTTAATTCATTGCAACCTGCACAAAAGGCCATTCAGAAATGAAACAGTTGGATCATGAACGTGAGAGGGTTAAACAGAGTAAGGTGTTTAAAGAGAAGGAGCAGAAGATAAAGAAGGAAAAGCAGAAACAAGAAAAGTAAAGAGGTGGAGACCAATAAGATGATGATGAAAGCTGAAAATAAGAAAAAAGCAGGAAGATGACAAGAACAAAATGAAAAGAAACAAACAGAATATTACATATTAGATATGGTTCAGTGATACTATAGTACATAAATGACAAACTAGACAGGATTTTGAAGGGAGTGTTCATACCCTAATTGAGGTACTATCCCGATATTTGACTGGAGGAACCAACGAAAACCACAAAAAACTTGAGCCAAAAAAAATGGTGAGGGTTACTGCCACTCTAACCTGCTCAGTGAAGAAGTTAGTGCTCCTTCTTGCACTAGCCCCTGTGCTGTGTGCCGATAGCCATGCTGGCTCAGCACACTTCAGAAAGACTGAAGCATAAAGAGAAATGTAGCTTATTATGTTATGGAATGTGACACCCTGTAGTCTGGTAGAATGTTACGCACATTCAGGAAAAACCCACTGTTGCAGTCCACTCCTCTGAAATGTTGGTAATATTCTACTAGACTACGCAGCATCAAAACCCAGGAGACAGTAATGTTCAAAGTTGCTACCACAAGAAGCTCATCACACCCTGGAAAAATGTTTTGCCTTCTACTTTGCCCAGTAATAAGAACCCAGTCAGAGGCAAGTTCTGTGTACCTCGTGAACAATTCCTTTACTTCTGCTCGAGACATCAGATTCATGTAAAATGTCACAAATTCCTCGGCATCCAGAACCTGTTCCCTATTTCTCAAGTTCCTGTTCGTGTTTGCATTCTGCAACAGAGACAATACATAATCAGCATGAAACACCATGCGAGGCATGATGTTCATACCAAGTTTCATGAACATCTCTGTGGAGTTCGCAGCAGACATAAAACCATGGTCCTGATAGGGCCATAAAACATTTCAATACAGTCAGTAGTCTAACTAAATTAACTTCAACTGAATGTGATAACATGTCACTTATGTTTATAAATGGATCTCCCCAAAAAATCATCAGCATTTCATACAGATGACAAGGTTCCAGGTCTGCTTATATTTTTCACAACAATTAGCAACAGCCTACAGATCAAGTCAGGCAGAGATTCAACCACACAACTTAACAGCGCTCACTCTCCTGCCTGATAACATGCGAAAACATATATTTGAGCATATAGTCAACTGGTGAAACTGCCTGCTTCCCTGGACTGACACATGCAAAGCTAAGAAACTAAATTCTCCAGACAAATGGCAGGACCACAAACACTTCCTTCAACATCCTTTCCAACTGATCATTCATCTGTCATCCTATCATCTAATAGTATATTGTCTCATCTCAAAATCAAAGGCATCAGTAAATTCCCTCCTAAAACACTAGAAAGTGATGTAGCATATACGGGTAAGCTAACCAAGGCATACAACTAACTGCAAGAAAAATATCAGAGGACTGTTTTAATGTATGGAGAACAGATAACATTCATGTTTTGTACTCCTCCAGTTTTAGTGGTCTGACAGCGCACTAGTGGCCAGACTGGAGCACTCACACCCTGTTCCCAATTAAAACACATAAATCAGAATCAGTGTATCAAGAAGACATGGAGTCCTTGACATTCATGGTCAATAAATTAATGCTGCCCAAGAAGTTGGAGCATCTGCCATATACACAAATGGTCAAACCTCTGGCCTTCTCAACGTGTAGCAATTGATCACACCACTTGACCTGCACGACTCTAATTCTGTGGGCCTTGACTCACATCAAACATCCGCTTCACAGTGGGTTTTGGCAGCTTCACGTTCAGCTGTTTCAGCAGTGTTAAGCACTCCTCATAATTCAGGCTTCCATTCCTGTCAATATCAGCCTCTTGGAATTGTAACTTGAGCCACCTGGAATCACCAGATGTACCACTAACTAAGCACAGGGACAAAGGTATCATTATCAGGCATGACATGTTGCATCATCAAGTGACTTTCCTGCTTACCTAACTATATTTTCAAATATGTCACATGCACCTTTTTTATTTATAATTAAATAGCTTGAACATGCAACTAGTTAATTACATACAAGATTCTTAAGTGCCCAGTTATGGAATGCAAATTACATTGCATTATGTTCTATCTGATGTGCTATAGTACAATAATACTAACTGTATTAATGAACATACATAACACTAACATGCTAACACCACCACGCTACAAAGCATGTTTGAAATTAATACCATATAAGTCAACAGTAAGTTACACACTAACTGACTGACTAACCAATCCCATATGGAACCTGAAGGTTCACTACTGTGTTAACAAGAATCTTCCATTGGTCCCTATCCTGAGCAAATGAATCATGACCACACTCTCACATTTTATTCTTTAAGACCCATTTAATATTATTCTCCCATTTATGCCTAGGTCCCCTAAGTGGCCTCTTAATGCTGCTTTCCAACCTACTTTATTTTCATGTATTTCTAATCTCTCTTGTGCATGGCACATGCCTCATCAATCTCATGTTCCTTCTATTTATCATCCTAACAGCATCTGGCAATAAGTACAAATTATGATGCTCCCTACTTCCTCCACCTTCAGTCTGAATATTAACCTCAAACACCTGAACCCTATGGTCTTCCTGTAATGTGAGAGACCACACACACTTGCATTGAATAATCTGCATGTTAGTGAATACAAACACCTACCTTTCAAACCGTTCCTCCTGCTGCAAGCCACTCAACACTGTGATAAGGTGGCGCAGGCCTCGAACCCACACGTCTGCCACCTCTGCATTTGGAGCCACCAAATCCAGGCTCTGCTTGTTACGCCCATGAACCAAAGAGAAGCACACTGCCTCATCTATTGTGTGCTTCTGGCCTGGTGACTTCTTGTGCTTCTTGCTTATGGTCCGTTCAATTTTATTGAACGTGTCCGTCTTCCATCCCTTGCGCACATCCACGATATCATCCACAAGAACTGTGAAGAAAGTTGTCAAGTGTCAAAGAGCATGACTGAAAATGTTCCAAGATCCTACAATGAAGTGAAGAAAAAGCACTTAACCGGGCCTGCAACAGGAACTGTGCAAGCTGAAAACAGTGGAACAGTTGTTGGGTGACTCTTACAGTTTCCATTGGTACACTTAAGCATAATGTGCCACAATGGTCAAGATGTGGCCCTGAAAATGAAAACTCCCACTTACTCTCAGTACTGGTCTTGTAGCAAGGCGGCTTGTGTGAGGGCTCATAACGCAAGGTTCCATTCTTGTGGTCCAATATGTATTTCCGGCGGTACCACTTGGATAATGAACGTACTTTCCATAGCACAGTACCATTCTTGAGTGTCTCCAAGATATCTTCTACAGTTTTACTGCGGGAGTCAATAGCCTCTGCAGACAAATGAAACACAAGTGTGAGGAGGCAGACATTGTATTTAATGGACTGCAGAGGCTGACATTCAATTGTTTCTTCTTTCTGCTGCTGAGTATATACATGTACTCACATGGGCACAAAATTACGACAGTGAAGTAATTAACGGTTTGTGGTAAAAGGTAAGTTGCCGATCTATGGCATGAAATGTGTTCATCTATTCAACATTCAGATTTTGGGCCCAAATCCCACTTGAGACATGGATGTAAATTTGTGTTTACCTGTGTTGGTAGCAGCCTCAAGATGGGATGATCCCCCATCCAAGGAGTCCTACCTACTCTCTGTAAAATTCATAGTTTCAGAATTAATTCAGAACTGGAACAAGAAGCCAGGGAACCCAATGTCAAGGAAAGAACGAGCATAAGAAGGAAAAGCAGGAAAAGTTGCCCTTGTGTTTAGTTAAGCACCACACCACTAAGCTGTGGGGGGGGGGGTATAGCACTATGCATTCTTAGTCTGAGCACTAGATGGAGGTGACTGGTTAGTTTCACGCCCTGGTCGCTTCACCCCCGGGGAAGGAGGCCCAGTATCCACTGGTAGCAACCAGAATGTATGTAAATAAATAAAGACGCTTGAGATGAAGTAGTTGAACTTCAGGTAATATTTTAATTGTACATTCCATTATGCTCAGAATCAACGAAAAATGTAAGTCCATGGTTTCTTGCAAATCCAAATTGTGGAATGTTACACCAGAATGTCAAGAGATGGCAGGAGAGGGTTTATTGAAGACGCCACACATCACAGATGTAGAAAGCCGTTTTCTGGACAATGTATCACCGGGCGGTAAGGTCTGGACTCTTTCACAGCAGATGCTCGTTTCAAATCTCTACCGGGACACAGACTATCCTGACAGTGGTGTATGGTGGTTTTATTCAGTCTCTCCTCACAAAGCCCGGATGATACCTCGATTAGGTGACGACCGATCCCTTCCAAATCATCTACTACCCTACCACATGACCCTACATAATCAAGCCACTGACAGCGTCGGCAAACTACACAATAATCCGATATATTTCGTTTGTATCATGGAAAAGGCTATCAGAATCTTCGCTGGAAACTGAGACTTGAGAAACATGACAGCCTGGGGTGGTTCACGGACCACACTTTGTTCGCCTCAGTGTTGCATATGCAGGTCAGGCAATGCTTCAGTTTGGTGAGCCGCGTGAGTGAGGCCACTGGCACTGAATACAAGCAAGTTCGGACATTGTTAACCCTCCAACGCTAAGAACGAGAGTAGCCTGGCGATATGGCGCTCGGGTCACACTGCAGACTGCCAGGGATTTCATTAAACAGTCATTACATCATCAAATGTTACACACAAAAGTCGCTGATCTTAATGCCACCTGCGTTTCATGTTTTGTCTTCCGTGGGTTGTTTAATGACGCCTTCAATACAGGGCGGAAGGATTGGCATGACGTCTGATGAACCGTGAAGAATCTGGGAGGCAGGGGTTCAGTCCTACTCGATACCGGCATATCTCTGGAAGGGCCAAGGAAAACCACGAAAAACCTTAGGATAACAGGTGTCCTAGTCGAGATGAGAACTCAGTACCTCCAAACCAACATATGAGAGGGGGGAGGTCTTGTGTGACATGAACTTGTCCTTAATTCGATACAGAATGTCTGCAGCTTCGTGCAATATAGCGGGCTATATCACACCCACAGCGATCCAACTCGGTTTCACCCAAGTGTTTAGGTTGGTTAAATGTAAAAAGATAAAGTTGTCCCTGCGCTTAATTAATTAAGCATTACCCCATGAAGAGGTATGGGAAAGTGGAGGTATAATTCCACCATTCTTGACCTCGGCAATAGATGAAAGTCAGTGGCCAGCTTTACACCGGAGAAAAGAGCTCCCTTGTACCTATTCGATAGAACACTGGGCAGGCCCCAGAGCCGGTCTGAACGCTGTGGAGTAAAGAAAAATCTCTGGCCCTCGCCAGGAATCGAACCCAGACAGTCTAATCCGTACCTATACCAATGAAGTTATTCAGATCAAATTAAGTTCGGCCAAAAAAGATTTTACGGTGGATCCCCCCCGCCCTCCATACAAAATTTAAAAGAAATCTGGCGGGGGAGTTATTTCAGAGATTAAACAAGTGGACAAACAGATACGACCTTCTAATTATGTTTATATTTAAAAAATCTTCTTCAACGATCGCATTAGACTAAAAGTTAAAATATCAAATGACCACAGTGCCGAGGTTATGAATATGTGAAGCTATACGTCCATTTCCCCATACGTCTTCTTTGCGCGATGCTTCGGGACCTTCACATGCTTTCGTCTGCAAAATCACACTCGGCAACTCCTCACTCTTCATTTCTACTCTCTCCCTAGACTACGGTGGCGAAATTGTTCGAGAAAAATAAATTTCGATATCCCAACCAGCGCGAAGCAGTTTCAACATTCTTCACAGACGGCAACAAAGCCAGCGACACACACACAATACTGGTTCCAACATCTGTTGCTTGTCCTTGGAAATGCAATGGATAATTTAATCGGCGGACGATTAGTTACACTCTAATGGCTGAATCCTCCTTTACCCTTTTAAAGACTGAATTTCTTCTAAATAATATATGCAAACTTAAACCGTACCTCGTCCGCGCTACAGCTCAAGCGTTTAGTCGCTGACTTCCCACCGCTGCGGCCCGGGTTCGATTCCGGGTCTGGACAAGTGGGATTTGTGGTGGACAAAGTGGCGCTGGGGCAGGTTTTTTCCGAGTACTTCGGTTTCCCCTGCCAATCTTTATTCCACCGATTGCTCCACAATCACCCTCACCTATTATCTTGGGCTGGTACAATAGGCCAGAAGTGGCCGCAGTACAAGGGACCCCACTAACAATAATAAACCGTACCTCACAGGAAACACGTTACGTCTCCGCTACAAAGCCCAACCGGTTAATGCTGTTTAGGGAAACAGTTGCTGTTTATTGTGAGAACCATACGGAACACACAAATACACTCTGTGGGCAGAAAACTCAGTCCGTACCTCTCATGAAACTCATTACGTCTCCACTACAAAGCCCAACCGGTTAATATTGTTTAGGGAAACAGCCGCTGTTTACTGTGAGAACCATACGGAACACACAAATACACTCTGTGGGCTGAATGAAGAGCTTTAGTGTGTTAAAGCAGGTGGTACATATAGTAACCACTAGGATTTAAAGTGATAATCACATTCCAGTCAAAAGCCGGACCGGTTTATCGCTGAGATAGGATTCCTGCGATTGTGAGATCATCGTTAAGTAGGTCGGTCGGACTCAAGGGCATTTCGACACATTGTACAAGAAAGCGCGACGTATTCACATAAACCTGGCTGAACGTTAGATGCGCTTTTCGTTCGTTTCAAATGCTACCAGCAGAAAACGTGAGTGGACGAGTTGCGTCATGAATGAATAAAAAATTCCGTCCAATGAAAAGGGACGAATTGTTGAAGAGGGAGGGGTTCCTTTCTAATAATTTGAAATGAAGAAGAGAGGAGTTGTTTCTTAAAGAACGTGTATTTTCAGTCTAATAACGATTTTGCTATATAAGTAAGAAGAAGGGGGAGGGGGGAACCAAGCACCTGCCCCCCCCCTTGGGATATAAATAAAAACATACAACCTGAAGAATAAATGAAACTCTACCAAATATTAATAACAGAGATTAAAAGAATTTTCACAAAAATTCACTTTAACCTGAACACTCTCGGGCGATCAGTAAAAACAGTACTGAACGGCCTACACCTAAGTCCGTAAGCAGACTTCTTACATTTAACTCGTCTTGGTTCCTGAACTCCTGAGAAACACAAATCCGGCGAAAGGCGACCGAAGTTTCGGAGTAACATACAAACTCCATGCAAAATAAGCCAAGCTCTACTTGGTGTCTGCTTCACGCTGGTTTTTTCCTTGGCTTACTGTTCGAAGATGTTCCTCCGAAACGACTATTATTTTCACCGGGCTCCACGTGCGTTACATCTCAGAAAACAGAACCCTCCTCATGCTTAAAAGCTCAGACAGAGGAGGAAAGAATCTGTTAATGTGTACAGAACTGGATCCANTGCAAAATAAGCCAAGCTCTACTTGGTGTCTGCTTCACGCTGGTTTCTTCCTTGGCTTGCTCTTCGAAGATGTTCCTCCGAAACGACTATTATTTTCACCGGGCTCCACGTGCGTTACATCTCAGAAAACAGAACCCTCCTCATGCTTAAAAGCTCAGACAGAGGAGGAAAGAATCTGTTAATGTGTACAGAACTGGATCCAATCCTTCGTTTAGCGAAACGGCCAGTTACACAGAGCATGAACTGCATTATGACAATTCTGCCTTCACATTCCCACAGCAACGTGCAAGTGTCACACANAATCCTTCGTTTAGCGAAACGGCCAGTTACACAGAGCATGAACTGCCTTCACATTCCCACAGCAACGTCCTGAAGGACAATTACACAACAGTTACATGGCTGTATGAAGAGAAACAGCAATTTTAAGCACTGCGGAAGTCCACAATCTGTATTGTGACGTAATAACACTGTACAGCCTGGTATAAACTTGCGGATGAATCGGACAATTTCTACGAGACTACAAGGTACCACACTCCAGGACGTCGGTTAACTTCTACCAGTTGTCACACTGCCTGACTGCTTAACTACTGGTGGTCCTCGCCAGCACAGTGATTCCTGGCTCTGAGTCCCATGGGAATCACTGCCACGTTTTACTGTCTGAAGGCTCCATACATGGCTGTATGAAGAGAAACAGCAAGTTTAAGCACTGCGGAAGTCCACAATCTGCACTGTGACGTAATAACACTGTACAGCCTGGTATAAACTTGCCGATGAATCGGACAATTTCTACGAGACTACAAGGTACCACACTCCAGGACGTCGGTTAACTTCTACCAGTTGTCACACTGCCTGACTGCTTAACTACTGGTAGTCCTCGCCAGCACAGTGATTCCTGGCTCTGAGTCCCATGGGAATCACTGCCAC